CGTGTTTTTTTTCGTTTTCTAACATGAGTATAGAGCAAGAATATGATGCTCCAGCAGACATGATTGAGGACTCTGAGATCGACACCCCAAGCGGCCCCGGCCCGTACCCGAACAACTTCTCCGGTGACGCGCCACAAAACATGATGGCTTCCCCCAACTCCGTTGGACCGGGCCAGCACATGACGAGCCAGGCCGAGTCCGCTCAGTCAGCCCAGACTACCGGCGGTGCCTATCCCTCCATGACCCAGCTCCTGGACACTGGCATCGACTGGGATCCCTTTGGGCTGAGTGCCAGCATGGCCTTCCCTTCACAATTCTCTTTCGACACCAGCAACATGAGGTAACCCTACGCCCCCGACGGATCGAATCTGCAGCGCCAGCGATACAGCTTGGTGTAGCCATCCGATGATTTGGAGGGGAAGGAAATGGTTTTGACCACGAAAAAAAAGTCTCATCACGGCCTCTGGCCGTTTGTTTTATTGTTTTTGCAAAAGAAAAGAAAAAGTAATCATTTTATTTGGGAGGTTGTGGCGAGCGAAACACTCGATACCCGGGCGACACGACGACAAAAAACCAGCATTCGGACGGCGAGATTGTTTTAAAACGGGCGAAGCATTGTAGCAGCGTCCTTAATCACAACAAAGCGACGGGGACATCGAAACGTTTCTAAAAGATGGCACCAATACCCGCGCCGCGGTCATCTACGGGAAATGCGATCACGACATAAAAGTACAATCAATTCCTTCACATCTTTTTTTCGAATATAGGACACAGTCTAGGCGGCGGAAATACCCCAAAACGGTGGTTTGGGTTGGCGGCCTCTAGCACTCGTCTCTGAAACCTTTTCTTGTACATTGGATAGGAGGGCTATGAGGAGAGAAAGCCTGTTCATCATGATTTTAATGGCGTTTATGTTGTCTTTCAAACCTTTCAAACCCATCACGTACGATGATGCACAGGGAAAAACAGGAGGGATCAAAAAAAGTTATTGTTTATTTTCTGCATGAAAAAGTTTCCATCTTTCTTCTCGAGATATCGTCTCCACGGTGCTGTCGTGGTTGTCTATGAGAGCGGTCTTTGCTTGGTGTTGATCTCTCAAGATGGCTCGTCGTCAGGAGAGGTCCGCTGTGAGGTCCAGATCGGCCGGCGGCGGACAAAGTGGGACTCGGATGTTCCAGGACCGGAAGTGGCCCTCGAGCGAAACCAGCCTCCTTCATCACGTCTCGGCTGACGGCATCCATAGTCGCGGCGTCGGAGCTGAGTCCGTGTGAAATATCTTGGCCAACATGGTTCCTTCCTTCTTACTTGGTCTGAGGCGGCAGCCTCTGGTTACCTGCTTTCTAAGCATGGCATCCGCATATATGAGGCATCACGAGCGGGCGTTTGAGATTGCGTGGCATCGTTTCTGCGAGGCGATTGGTCTCTTTCTTTTGCAGAAAGGTAGCATGCAAGTTTGGTGCAATCTTGGGTCATTTTGTTCTCCATCGTGGGAACTTGCGTACGCCCGCTTTCACCCCCCCATGTAGTTAGGTAATAGTTACGGGAGCGCAACGGGAGCTTGACTCGGGGTTTGCGAGAAAGTTACAACAGAAGTGTTGGTACCTTTTGCTTTTTCCAAGAGGATTCTTCTTGTGCCTTTGTGCCTGAAAGACACGTGGAAGAGACGGCTGTGTGTGAGTGGGCTTTCTGCTTTTCGAAGCTTGTGTTGGAAATCCTGCATGTCTACAAGAGACGGAACGGTTCGTATTAGCTTGGCGTGGCATGGCTGTTGTTTCTCAAGTTTGTCTCGTCCACGATCCTTGATTCTTCTTGGTCATGAAATGTATGAGATGCATAGCTTTGCGAGAGCGTTACCGATGGCAGCGCACATATGGCCTACGTGTTGTCTTTTTAACTTTTCTTAGGCCAATGGAAGCGAGGCAGTTCAGAAACGTGTTAGTAACAAGATTGTGCGTGATTCGGAACCAGGGACCATACGTCTTGAGGATGAGGTCAAGGCGTGACGTGACGTGACGGCAGTTGAGGGGAGGTCCCGGCAGCGGGCGTCCGTTTCTCGTATGTGTGCGCGGATGTGCATGTACATGTGCCTGAATCTGTCTTTTTTGGAAAATCTGGGGAGGTTTGTGATTACCCCATCTTCATGTTTGATTGACCCCGTCTCCTTCCTTCCCCCTCCTCAGACGCACGCGCCGGAATACGCAACCGGCTGGGAGAGACGGGGGGAGGAGGCACGTATCGTGAGTTTGTGTTACGGGGAAGTGGAGCCGAATCACCTAATGGTAATGTCGGGGGGTGTCGAACCTGATAAAGGGGGTGTGTGAGTGAGCACGGAAGGGTTTCTCCACTGAGTGCATACGGGAATTACGTAAGTAGGACTTTTTTGGGAGGACGGTGACGGGGTTTCTTTTGCTTGGTTCCAAGGTCCTATTGTTCTTCTTGGCTGGAGTGTTTGGAGAGGCCAGGAAGACACCGGGGAAGCGAGACTCCGTTGGGGCCGAAGGGAGACCCGCCGGGGGAACGGTTGATGGATCGGGATGGCCGGGAGGTGGGGATTGGAGGCTTCGGGGCCCGTTTGGAGTTGGAGAGCTATGGAGTGTTTGCCCGAAGGCGCTCGCGTCGAGGGGGTGTTCCGGGTGAGCGGCGAGGCGTGCGTGATGTTCCTTGGCTATGTGACGCAGTCTAGTTTTGAACCGCTCTGTTGGACGGAATCTGGGCTTGCATATTCGTGTGATGAGGAATCTTGACGCTTTCTCTGGGCATCAGGCACAGGGAATTTGTCATCTGAAAGGTCTAGACCCTTGGATGACTGTGCTGATGATCCGAGCCAAGAGTCTTTTGCGAAATTTGGTTTCATGGCCAAGATGAAATTGATGTTGCTTTAGATTGTGAGAATATTCGGAATCTGCATTGTGACGTGGTGCATTTCTGGACGATGATTCAGGGGCCTGGGGTGTGTTTAGCTGAAATATTCGAGTTATTGATCGTGAGTTGCGGTTAGCCTTGGCTCCGTTTAGGCAGCATAGAGATGGATAAGGCCATGCAGATGGTGTTCGGCACAGGGTAAACATCGATACGAGTTGGCGAGGCCTTGACGTTTTTGCTGTCGAAGACAGTTGTGTTATTTGGTTCCGAGACATTATGTATGCTCTCCAAACCGAGATGCTGGCGCCGCCAACGAACTTGTATGTACTTCTTGCAAAATAAGAATCCCAGCCTGAACTCGTTGCAATCCCATAGTCGCAAATCACTATCACAACGACTTGCGTAGAACTATCCATGGCCTGCCAGACAGCACGGTTGCTGGCCATAGATAGCTTACCAGCCATCCCGAGCAAATATCGTGGTATTGAGGAGTCAATGTGAAAAGAAGATTCCGATTTGGCAAATTTCTTGTCGAAATCATAAAGCAAGTTGACCGCACATTTCCAGTATCATACTGATATGTCATATAATCTCTATCTTCCACTGCCCCTCTTATCGCATCTGTGAGCTCTTTCTCAAACTGAAGTTTCGTTGTTATGTAGTACATTCCTCACGTGTGGCTTCGGTGGGATGAAGCCCTGCCTTCGTCTATGAGTAGCGGGCTGGGGGAAGGAGCAACTCAGCGCACCTGCCCAAAACCAAACTGAGCAAGTGCTTCCTTCCTTCTTAGACAAACTCGGTGCGGTTCTTGCCAACCAAGCCTGATGAAGGGCCAAGTGGCCCAGAGGTATAACGTCCTAGATCGTTAGTTTGAACTTGGTATAAAACCCAATGGCTGGTTTCGTAGGGTCTGCGGTTCGAATCCGCACCCGAGCTTTTGCTTTTCAGACTCATTTCTTCGTCTTTTGATCATTCTTTCACAGGACCATAGCGGATCGAGCCTTTGGCGTCGCTAACTCAGGATCGCATCTTCGTCCTTCACCTCCGCCTTCCAGTTTGCACTTCTTTTGGCCCGACTGGTGACAAATAATTACCTGCGTACAAGCACATAATCTCATGGCCTTTAACTTAAGCCCAAGTACAGCATTCCACGCATGCAGCGAAGAATATCGAGATTAATATAAAAGGGGGTTGGAAGTGCATGTAGAAGCTGCATCTGCAAGATTTCAGACTGTCATAAGATCATGCTGTAAATGTACTTCACTCATATCGCGAAATGACCGTGACATAGAGACTATCCCATTCACTTTTCTTGAATCGAAAAGCCTAAAGATAAAATTCTCTTTATAGTCGCACTTCGGGCATTCTAATTGGCAAGCTGGATACGCTAAACCCGTCCGCAGTTATCTCATTAACTGCTGAGGAGTACACCGGTTGGATTTCATCAGATGGAGTAGGAGTAAGTCTTTCACAAAGCAACAGCAAAATCAGCTATTAGGCTGGAAAATGAACATTCAAAACGGCTCCTATAAGCATTCTGGGAGTTACTGTTGTCTTCCACGGAAGCCAACTCTGACCATTGGTGTCCAGCACAGCCGATTGCAAGCCTCGTTGTTGTGACCTATGATCGCAACGAATCACTCGCGCGATTGAGGACAGCTTCCGGAATCGATGGAGATTGGTTGCGGATATCTTGTTTACAACAGAAAGCGAATATCTCCGATATGGTATCGTCGGAATCTTGCCTATCAACTGTAACTTCTCTCAAGACATCGTTCGATCGCTTTGAAAGGCATATGAAATTGATCACATTGCGTACCATATGAAAGCTTGACTGACACAAGCTTATTCTTGGCAGCTACCCATCATGTCGTTGCTAACATCAGACCGAGCACAGGTCACTGACTAATCCCGCTACTCTCCGGATGGAAGACGTCAGTCTAAAACGCCGGCCGCTTCCCCCGGTGGCGGTGCGGGGTGGCGACCCCTGCGGGGACTCTATGAACCCCTCTGCGCCCGCGTAACCGTCAACTGACCCGGCGCGCCATCAACCTCATGCTTCGACCAGATAACTCGCGATAAAATATTCTTCTCCCTTTCTTTCCTTTTCGTCCTGGCGGCTACAACAACAACGAAACATGAAGATCGAGCGAACACTGGCGACGGAGAAGGAGAGGCAGCCCATGGACAACTCGGCCTGCTGCACCTGCGCCAAGCTGCTGACCTCCGTGCCCCGGTACCACTCCGCGACCGAGAAGCCGCTCCCCGATGACCGTGTCTTGGAATGCTGCGCGCGAATCATATGCGGCAGCTGCATCCACGTAACGCCTCCTTTCGTTGTCATTACAGACCAACAGATGCTGACCCAAGTACAGGACAACCCCCGCTTCGCGTCCTACTGCCCCTACTGCCAGACCTCGTCCAACCCCGCTACCTTTGTCCTCCCGCCGAATCTCAAAGACCCGCCCGCATACACCTCCGTCGCCCGTAGCAACCTCCACGTCTCCGGGCCCTCGGCCCCGCCCCCGCCATACACAGCGACAACCAACGTACCCGTTGACGACGAGAAGGCCGGCTCGTCCGCCACGGCCACGCCGCCCGAGGACACCCTGCACTTCCTCAACCACGAGCACGATACCGTCGCCTCCCTGTCGCTGCGCTACGGCGTCCCCGCCGCCGTCCTCCGCCGCGCCAACAACATCACGAGTGACCACCTCCTGCAGGGCCGCAGGACGGTGCTGATCCCGGGGGAGTACTACGCCGCCGGCATCAGCCTGTCGCCGCGGCCGATCGAGGGCGAGGAAGAGGAGCTGCGCAAGAGCAAGATCCGGCGGTTCATGACCGGGTGCAAGGTTTCCGACTACGACGTTGCTGTGCTGTATCTCGAGCAGGCCGGGTATGACCTCCAGGAAGCCATGGAGGCGTTTGCTGCGGACGAGGCGTGGGAGAGGGACCACCCGGTGCAAGAGGGGGGTCGACGTGGGAAGGAGAAGAACCGGGGGCCGTTCTGGAGGGGGTCCGCGTGAGGCTGCGGGGATTGATTGATTCACACGAAATTGGCAGGCGTTTTTGGGGGATTGGTATTATTAGAACTCTTGTTCATTGCATCGTCATCATGTCCTGTACCACCCAACGGCTCTTTGGCCTGTATGAAACGCCGCTAACATATACCTTACGCTTTGTACAATACACGTAACAATTGATGTCTCCTTCCCAGAAATGAATGGTGATAACCACCACTTGTAAGCCTCCTCAAAAGGCGGAACGTGTTCTAATGTCTGAAATCTTCCTCTCAATCTCCCGCACGGACCGGTCCAGCTCGCCGGCAATCATCAGCTTCTTGTCATTAGGCAGGAGTGTGTATCTCTCGCAGAGATCGCCATCAATGACGCCCTTGACCGGTACGTAGTAACCGCGGTACATGAGGTGGTCTCTGCCTGCGAGTGGCGCGTCTTCGGTGCGCATATGCTGCTCGAGGTTCTGGAAGAAATCGACATCCTCGCGGGTGACGAAGGGAATGAAGACGCCAATGGTTCCGTTGATACCGCTCCAAAGGAGGACGTCCTGGCCACCAACGACGAGACTGGTCTTTGTGATACTTGTGGGCACGTCTTGGGTGTAGGAGTGGCTGAGAAGGTTGAGACGGTGAGGTGTGCCGTGGAGATAGTCCCTGGTGTTCAGCAGGTGCAAACCAGCTTGCTCCTCGTCGGCTTCTTGGCTCGCCTTCTCTGGACAACGAACGAGGAACATGTTGCCGAACTTGTCTCCTCCGGCGACCGACTCGTAGTCTACCATGGTTGTGCAGGTGACCCATCTTGCGATTGTGTCGTCGACGAATGGGATGAGCTTGTTGGTGGTGGGCTTATAGACGACGTAGGTGACACCGTGTTGTACGTCACCCACGACGATGCGACTGCCTTGTGTGCTCAGAGACACAATCAACTGCGGCGCTACATCTGCTTGTGATTTTCTGAGCATCTGTCGTAGACCCAGGTCATATATCCTAAGAGTCTTGCCGACACCAGCAAGCAGTCTGCCCTGGAAGGCCAGGAGAGCCGTGGGAGGCTCCTCAACCTTAGTTTTGTGGATAAATTCCAGCTCATGGCCGTCTTCGCCAAAGCGGTATACGTGTATGTATCCTTCCGTGAACTGTCGCGGGTTGACAATCATGTCTTTCCCTGTGCCAACGATCAGGAAGTTTTCATTGTCCTGGCTGGCAAAAGAGACAATCGCAGCGCTGACCGCAGCTTCATTGTTGTCGAGATCAACGGTCTGCAGTACTCGTTGCTCTTCCGACAATGGATCAATGACACTGATGCAGGATGCCCAGCGACCTTTGCCCTTGGGATATCCGAACTCATCAGGCGGGAGAACAGTCGCGTCGCCGTTCACCACCCCAGGCTCCGCGATGAGCTTGGCCCTGAGATCGGGAGGCAGTGTGTTGTTGTCTGACTCAATAGTGTAGAACATGGGGTGATCGGGATGCTTTAGAAGACGCCTTGGAGTATAGGTCAGGGGTATCGACTTTTGTGTGATGGTGTCTCCGAGGTTCTCGATGGCGAAAATCCTGATTCTTGTCAGCGGCGGGCCACGAAGTGAATATTCGAAAGATGCCAATGAAAGAAGAACCTTCAGTAGGAACAATTGGTAAAAAATGCGTAAGACCTCACTGCACTTTGGCGTAGGAATCCAATTCTCATCATGGTAAGGGAAAAAAGCGAAAGAGAAAGAACAAGAATGCTTACCTCAAGGACTGGCCCTGAATGCCAACAACACCTTCCTCGCATTGCTCACTGCTGAAGTTCCATACCCATTCCAGGTCCACGTAGTTGAGGGGAGTGACCACGAAACCTCTAGTGATAGGGTCGGAGTACCCAAGCCATGGACGTGAGCTCAATCCAATCACACACGTTCGACCTTGAACGGTGACTTGGAAGAGTCGCACGGGCTTGGGGCCCAGGAACTTTTGCCGGGTATCTGTCAACTCTCCAGTAACCTCATCTAGCACCGTCCGCAGATAGACACCAGAGTGAAGTCCGATATGGAGGTACAGGGTTGAGCCGCCAGAAGAAGAGTCATCCATGGCAATAATAGCCAGGGATGAAGGAGGAGCAGTCAAGGCTTGCACCGATTTGCTCTCAAGGGTCGAATCGGGGTCCAGAGACAAAACACGAACCGTGCTGTCGTCACAACCCACTGCAAGGAACGAGCTTCTCAGACGTCCTTCCGGAACCTCTCCCAAGCTAAGGCAGGTGACGGTACCGAACATTTCTTTCTTCTCGTCGTACTCTGCCAAAGATCCATCGCCATCCATCTCAAAGTACACAATCTCACCGGAGCTCAGAGCCACAGCAACTTGGTGTTCGTTGGTCGTGGCAGCAACGATGGATCGATGCTGAGGGGCTGCCCACTCGTTGATCTGGCCGTGGCGGATGTGACGGATACCCTTGGGATGGACCTGAATAAGACCGTCCTCGCCAAGCAGTTGCGCTGCCAGCGTGGGCACCGAGGTCAGGAATCCCGAGTCGCTAACCTCCTCGACGGTCTCGCCGATGCTTAACACAAGGGTTCCGTTCGTGAAGGACAGCACAATATAGGCATCGTACTGATCGCCACGGCTCAGCTTGAGTGTCCACACGGCTGAAGGAATACCGGGCAGCTCAGAGGCAACGATCTCATTTACCTCCAGACCGTGCTTCAACATCCTGAATGTGCTGCGAGCGCCGTTTCCACATGCTGTGTAAATTTGAGGCGCATCCTCGCCAGTCAGGTTTGCGACCTTGCAGTCGAGGAGGGGGTTCATTGAGTCGATGCTCTCTACCAGAGCCAGGTTTTCAAGTGGCCTGGGGTAGAAGTACACTGCATCGTAACCAGCCTTGGGGTCGGCTGGGAAGTCGTCGCTCGAGAATTCCTTCTCTTCGTCATCGTCTCCAAGCTTCTCAAACTGGTAGAACTGGTGGTTGCCAAACTGACTAGCCGCATACAAGAAACCGCTCTTGAGAATACACAGACTAGACGACACCGGCACAGTATCAAAGTATTTGATCTTGAGCCTCTTAACCTCGCCGGTAGGATTGCCGTCTGCGTCCTCAACCATATCGATTACAGCTTTGAACAAATCACCGTCTTCCGTCTGAAGCAGGAAGAAGAAGGCTCCAGCACTGCCCTTGAGCTTGTGCATTACACCAGAAACGATGTGGCGTTTCCTTGAAGGATCTTCCGTAGCGCCACGTCTCCGTGGTATCGGTACGCGGAAGGCTTCTTGGTTTGAATGACGGTATGTGATGTTCTCCTTTCCGCACACCAAGACACCGCTAGGGCCATCTTGACCACCAGGAACTTGGAAGAGTAGAGATGCTGTTGGGTCGACAGGCTCGGACCACTTTCGGACAACATGGTTGAGTCCCAGGTCCAACTCATAGTACACCAGCTGAGTCTCGGCTTCGCGAGTGGCCTCTCCCGTGGGATCTTGGTCTGCCTCCGTGTACTCTATCTCCAGTGCAGCAAAGACGGGGTTCGCGTAACCAACATCGAGCGCAACCATGGACAACACCAAGACACCAGGCTTATGCGCCTCCAGGGGCGAGGAGATGGTGAGTTCGGCTTGAGCGTTTCGGTTCAGAACATAGACAAGTTTATTCTTTTCGACCGAGGCGATGAGACAAGCTCTGCCCTTGGGATCGCAAGCGAGGTATTCTCCGGGAATCACGCGTCGTACTCCAGACTTTCCAAAGGTCTCTAGATGCAGCCGTTGGAATCGGTTCTGCGCGGGGATGTACTCGACGATTGTGATCCTTCCAGAGTCAGTCGCCAGAATGAGATAGTCTTTGACACGAGGTCAGCAAAGTTTCGATACGATCAAGTATCACCAGCACTGAGCGACAATGGCTTCAGTGACGCGCGTCGCGACTGGCAAGCTTCTCGAATCACTAAGTGAAGCTTCAAATGGAACGAGGAACAAAACTTACCTTTGTTGCTTCCTGCCAGCCGGAAGGCGGCCATGGACCGAATAATGCCAAAAATATCGTGCGAAAGCAGCGTAATGACCTTGCCCTGGGACGGGTCGGGTCGGAGGAGCGTCAAGCGCGATCCAGACGCCGTGACGATGTTCTGCTCCTTCGTCCCGGAGAACTGACCCAACACCGCCAAAGTGACATTGGTTGGCGGCTGAAGGGTCAGGGAGTAAAGAAACATGTTCGAGGTCGTCGCCATGTTTGCAGGTGGGCGCAGAAAGCCTGCGCGGCCGCAAAGTTCGAGCTCGACTGGATGATGAGACACGACGCGGTGGTGTTTTGAAGTGAAGGTGGGCTAGGAGGCTGGAGAGCTCCAGTACAAAATTTCAGAAGCTCTAGGTTCCCACTTGGCAACTGCTCGAAACGAGGTTCGGTGGAGACCCACCTCCGGCGCCTAGTTGATCCGGGCCACCCAAAATTTCGGGTCAACCCACCGCGGGCAGAGCTCTGGGACGTATACACTGGTCATAGCTATTGTCGACGCACGCCGCATCTCACAGTTCGGTATTGGCAAAGATGGAGCCGGCATTGCGACGAGCAGCCTCCAGCGTCTGCGGACAATGTTCCGCGACATTGAGGAGGCAATTCGTCTCCAACAGCGGTGTCAGAACCGTTTCTAGAATCGCATCAGCCCACTCGACGAGGGGTCTACATTCCACCGTTCCGAGGAAATCAAAGGCGAATAATGTGACGAGGCAATTCTCTTCAACGACCAAAGTCTCTAGCGAGGCAGCGGCTGCTAAGCCCGCGAGCACCGAGACGGCAACCCGGAAGCTTCGTTCGGACGATCTTTTCCACTCCTTCACGAATTCGCCCATTCCCGAGATCCGGCGTCGAGCGGCCTTCATGAGACAACATGCGTACTGCCCGCACCCAGACCACAGAGCAACTCGCGTACCCACGACTGCACCGCAGGGCGATGAGCACACACATCAGACTGGAAACCTTGCGCCGGCGCATGTTGACTTCGAATGCCCCGACTGTGGAGTTCCTGTTTACTGCAGCAAGGAGCACTGGATGGATAATTACGAGGCACACCTTGAGATCTGCGATACTTTGAAGGAGATCAATGAGGATGACCATGATCTGCGTTCTGGCCGTGCTTTTCCAGAGTTCGTCATGGCCGACGACCAAATGCCGGAGGCCGTTGTCAACATGACCAACTGGGATACGTTCATGTACAGCCGAGAGTTCGAGGCTATCAACGACGAGCGTAGCATGAGGCAGGTCACGAAGATGCTTACGTACCCCATTACTATTGGCAGCATTCTGCATGAGCTTAGCCCGTACAGCGTAAAGCAGGGCGAAAGGCTCACAAGCGAGGGTTTGAAGAGTTTGAGTGGTAGGTCCTTCGTCGCGAAGCTTGTGATATCAAGAAGCTCATGAGTGAACAGCTTTGCGTTATACACTTCACCCCCCTCTTTCAGGAAAGGGAACAGATATGAAGGACCTTCGTCCTGAGGCGCCGCCTGTGAGAGTGTTCTGCTTGGGCGCTCGCGCCGAGTCGTCGCTTCCGAGAAACGTCTGGCTTCAGCTGGCGCATCTGTTCCCCGAGAGCAAGATTCACCTCATTTTCATCGGCCCTGAAAGTATGGCGAACAGGGATAACGAATTCCCGCTACCCCCCAGAACACCCGAGAACCCTTTCGGCATGGTGATTGAAGACCGGATATCTCACAAGCTGAAGATCAGCACTATTGTGGACTACTATCATACGATCCACAAGACGGGATACTTTGCGCCATATGACCCATACTTTGACTGCTTCTGCCTTTTCCACCCTGGCCTGGGTCACCCGGCGAGCAGCCATGAATGGTCCGAGACTCTGCCGATGCTTCTTGAGACGAAGCTTCCCATTATTGCCACGGGATACACCCAGTTCGACATGGAGAGAGACATTGAGTGGGTTCGTAAGACTGCTGCTGGCGAGTTCGATATCCTTTTGGAGCCCGGCGAGAACCGTTTCCGCAGTCTGAGGTGGGATCTCAACGACCTCGACCCTCAGGACGTCAGCTGCGGAAACTGGGGAGTCTGGGCATTCCGTGGAAAGAGGTATGTTGTACAACGGCAAAGTCTTGAACATTAGTACTGACTCAAACAGGTATGAAACGGCAACCAAGGATCTCTGAGTGGCCTGGAGGATACTGGTAATGATTCTAGGCCGTGCATAGAGAGGCGTTGTAAATAAGTGTACTATACTGCTCACGACACGTGCATTGCACAACAGGAGACGGGGAGAAAAGGAGGGGAAAAAACCAAGCCGACTCTACTGCATTCCACACGCTTTCTTGACCCTGTGAAATTATGAGTCTAGACGTTGCTGTTTGAGTAGCATCCAGAGGTGCCATGAACGCATCGATGAGAGGCAGCAAATATGCCGTCAACTTTTCCCAAGTCGCATGTATATACCGATGCCAAGGTAATAATCGCTTCTAGAAGAATTCTGTCTTGTGCCTGTTGGACAAACCGGTGCCAGCGGCGTTCCTTTGCAGACGCAGCTTCCTCAGCTACTTTTATCTTAGGTAGGTTGCCTTATGTAAGGTCCGGGCGCCGTCCTGCAGCGCACGGGGTCACAGCTGCGGGAGGTTGAGCCGCTTTGCACCTGCAACGGCAGACCAGCATTCCCTGTAATTAACCTGGGAGCCGGGGGCAGGTCCCCAGTCCCGTCGTCACTTCACCTTACAGCGTCGTCCGAAATCTAGCTGGCTGCAAGTCAAAGTCGACGACAACCCCTCCTCGCCAACTCCTCTGTGCTGGTCGCGTGCGCCCGGTCGCCCTTGATACCAAGTCATACCATGAGACTGCGGCTTTACAGACGTTAGACGGCCATGACAGCTGTCGCTACTCCTCGCGCACCCACGCCGCGCCCGAAAGCCCCCGCAACAGTCAGTTTCGCGAACGACATCACCTCCTTTGCCCCGACACCCTCGACCCCCGCTACCGAACGTCTCCGTCCGCAGTTGCAGAGCAACCCTTCCGCTCGCCGATCAATTCGCGCAGCCCCTACCGACTTCCTCTCCGACAGGGCCACTGCCGCCTTCATCCGTCGTGTCCTATGTTCCCAACAGCTCTCCGATAAGGAGAGAACCACCCCGCCCCCGATTGAGGAGCTGCTGCCGCCCCTGACAAGTCGAAACGACGTCGACCTTCAGCTATACGCCCTGATTGCTGTCATTTTGAGGGACTACGTACAGGCCTGGTACAGCAAGATCACACCAGATGAGGCCTTTGTCGACGAGATTGTCCAGATCATAGCCCACTGTACCAGAGCTCTGGAACAACGGCTACGGAAGGTCGATCTAGAAAGCCTGCTCTTCGACGAGCTTCCCGACTTGCTGGACAGACATATCGTCGGTAAGCTTGCTCTTTGTTCGCTCGTTTCCACATGAACTAACACCACCTTTCAGCCTATCGCGCAGCGCATGACCCCGTATGTAGGCCTCCAACGGAGATAGACCCTCGAGAAGTTTACCACGCACTTTGTCCAGTGGCGCCCTTGTCACCAATACCACGGCCAGACCAACCAGAGACCGTTGCGAAGCAGCAAGAGAACGAGGCAATTTACCGCCAATTGTTGGTACAAGGCGTTTTAGCCGTACTGCTGCCAACCGAAGACCTCGAAAACGACTGCCTAACCTCCTTGGTCGGTCAAATCTTCTCTGAGCTCATCATTGGCAATGTCTTGGCCAATCGGCTCTCTCAACCATGGCTTATTTACGAATGCCTGATTATTCTCACGAGAGTCCTTGAACGGAAATCCGAACCCATTGAGGAAGATGTTGCAGAGGCGGTGCAGGCCGGGTCAGCGGCTTCTCTACCTAGACCGGCTCGCCGCAGCTGGTCAATCCAAGGGGTGTTCTGGTCTTTCGTACACTGGTGTTTTCTGTCATTTGCAATGATACGCCTGCTTGTCAGCACTCTCGCCATGTCTTCATCCTTGCCTCCAAGAGCAGATGTTGCCTACGATGAGAAACACGAGTTGACGGGTCAGTTATCAGATTCAAAGACACCTGATGCGCTCACGGGCTTGGACGAAGCACAGCCAGTGAAGACTCCCATCTTCGCCTTCAAGCTGTGGACCTGCATATCCGACCTGATCGAATTGGACGCCCGCATGCCTTGGTTGAGCGGAACGCTCTCGATGCTTCAGCTCGGAGCTATGAAAGGTCCAGGCCGGGTCGCCGCCCTAAACGGACCCATGGACAGGTAGGCATCCATCTTCTTCCTCCTCCCTCCCTTTCCAGACGAAATCACGTCACACCGCATGAGCTTCAAGTCACTTGACCTGGCTTCGCTCCAGTGAGCACACGGAAACGCTCAGTCGAACAAGTGCAAGATGAGAGCTGCTTCAGTAATTGCCTAGTGGGCTGCTGAGAAGGCACATTCGGCGATGGACTTGATACAAGCTGTAACGACACGGTTCGGGGTGCGCGCAGTGAAGGGGTCGAGTCCTTTGGAATGCTGCGCGAAAAAAGCCGAAATATGCTGTGCGACACCCCCCACCCGGCCCATTCTGCGACCCAACCCAGACTTGACCTCCTACCCCGATTTCTCGAGACTACGGTCGCACTTGCAGGACCTCATGGGCGCCAGCCAATCGCAGAGGGAATCGACGTTGCTCGCCTCCGATTTGCTTGATAGGTTGTCGCGGGGCTGCGCTTCCATCCACCAGGAAGCCTCATTTACGCGCCCAGCTCCAACAACGGGCACCGACTTACAAGGGTCTGGTCACCACCGTCATCTCCTTCATCCACGCACACCTACGGAGACCCGGCACTCAGTCACTCAACCGTCACGCCCTTCGCTTCCCGTCGCCCCACCGCATCTGCCTGCCAGAAACTCCGTCAGAAGTCGGTACACGGGTTGGCATCATTCTTGCTGCTGGTGACGGGGCCGCCTTCACTAGCAGTATCATCATGGGGCTCCCCACGGGCTTCGTCAATGGCCGCCTGTTAGTGCACCTCGTTTGCTGAAGCGTCACGCAGCCACTGACTCGATCCGTCCCGTGAGGCAGGCTAGCAGCTTGCTCTCTTTCAGCGGCTAGCTGTCTATCAACCGTCATCCGATTCGACAGTTGGCGACATGACGGCTGGCCCAATATGGAAAGACGAGATACGTCTCTTTGACACCCCGAATCTTCGTCCTTGCGTGGCTTGCTACAGAGCCCTGGTTCTGGGGCCCGAAAGAATTGAACGTCACACCCTCCGACGCATGGAAAGCACACACAATTACGGGGAGAGACGGTAGCCTTGCCCGGGGAGCATCAGCAACCATTTACGGATCTTGGACGGACAGGGGAAATATTCTGCCTGCCTTGCGACACAGACGCAACCTTCGCCTCCAGCGTACCAAGCTTTTCACTTGTATCCCCTCTTTTGGCGCATGCTGCTCTACATGCGCGCGGCCCTTCCAACACTCGCTCGTCGTCAGCCGTGTCTAATCCCTGTTGAATTCGTGTTTCCTTTCCCTTAGTTGTTTCCATTCATTTCCAATGTCTTGCGCCTCACATTCTCGTTCGATTCCCCTCCCGCAGATCCTCTCACTTCACACACATTGACCCTGTAGCCCCCACGCATGAACTGCGACTGTCCGAGTCGGAAGTAAAGCCGGGACTGACATGAGAGCGCTTGCCGCGTCGCGCGCGAATTATAGGCTCATCTCGCATACCATACACCAACGGGTTCTCGACGCCGCGTACCTGCCCACCCTCCTTCGGTCCATCCGCGCCGCCCTCTTTCCCAACAACGCTCCCGGCGTCTCGACCTTGGTGGCCCCCTCCTCCGATCAGGAGCTGCGTGCCCTGCGCCGCAGGTGCGCTAGCGCGGTTCTAGCCAGAATCCCGCCGTGGCTGGCTAGGCTCTACCTGGGCGGGCGAGGCCTTGGCCTCCGGTGGCGGTCCGGTCCGGACTCTAGAGTAACAGGAGCAGCAGCAGAAGCTGGGGCTAGCGGGGATGACACCGCCGCGGCCGGTGGTCCTGGTTCTGGTCCTGGCAGCAGCAGGGATGCCAACGTCGAGGCGGTCGCCACCGGCACTAGCGACTGCGATAGTTCAGGTGACGAGAACGGCACAAAGTCGCAGCCTCCTGAAGACGATGAGGATCAGCAGCAGATGCTGTCCGAGATGGAGGAGGGCATCCTCGACGTCTTCTCGGACGAATACTGCAACAAGCACTTTGTGTATGGCATGTTGGAGTTGATCCTGGTGAGACTGATGCCCGAGCTGGCGGAGAAGGGGGTGGTTGAGATGTGGGAGGAACGATTGAGCCTATGAGCTTCGTGTGCTGCCATGCATTTCTTTTTGGTGCTTCGCCTTGATCCCCGTTTAGTCTAGATACCCTTCTGCCAAGATAATGAAGTATTTTGATTTCACAATGTTCGCAATGTTCGACAATGTTCACGATCATGACCGCCACATGTTACACAGAATGATATTCCAAGTCTCACATCACACCGTTTACATGCCATATTGCTTTTCCAGTCTATGTCGGTTTCCAGAAGCGAATCTGAGTTACACACACAAGACAATATCACGGAAGGTGGGCGAGGATTATCCCCATTGCAACCCCAACGCTCGCTCGTATACATCACGATAGTCTTCTCCTTGCACTGGTTGGGTTGTGAACCTTCCCAAACGTCACGGCCATCTCTTTGTCAACGCATTCATCGAGGGAGAAACGATGTTTTTTTGTAATTTCTGTAGACCAGTCGTAGAGGGGACGAAAAAAAGGGGCTAATCCCTAGAAATAAATGCAAAAGGGGCCGCCCGGTTTTTTTCTTGTCTTTCGGATTTCGCGCATACTCTGGCCGGGGTAACGCGAGTCTTCTTTGGGTTGGCTGCTTTGGTTGTTGTTTTCGTAGCCAAGGAGGCCTCAGCTTCCTGACCTCAGACTCGGGAGGTGGAGTGCCTTTCCACCTCTCTCCGTCGTTTCCCCATCATCCTCTGGCCTCCCTTGCTCTGTACGGGTCTCCTGCCATTTGTTTTCTCGGTTTCCCTCTCCTGTCAGAAAATCGTTCAGATATCGTCCGATTGTCCGATTATGTGATGTCCATAGATGATGTCCGTAGATGATGAAGTGATGATCCCTTGAGGGCTCCCGTGTTCCCTTCTCCCAATGCCTGGCTACCCCAGCCAATCTCCCTGACCTAATCCCAAACCCCCTTATCTCGCAATGCAGCTGCGTCTGAGGAAACCCGGGAAATAATACAGTGGCGAGTTCGTTGCGAATCGTCGATATAGCGAAGGAAAGAAAACAAGGAAAGGGGCAGATAATAGAGCGCTTGGAAACAGTGTGCCGAGTGACGGGAAAAAAACAGAGATAGATACTGAAATAAACCAAGAACAAGTATTTGCAAAGGTCGCGCAAGGTGGGAATTTTCGGTGTTCGCGTGAGCGGCAAGGTCTTTTCCTTGATGAGCGGCGGATAAGGATGAGAAATTGGGGTATATAGAATATGTTGAGGTTTGGAGTGAATGGTTCTCCCATGACCTCGTCTTTTGCTAATCTTTTCCCCTGGCTCTGTAATGATAAGGTATATTGTGCCCATATTTCGATGTCGTGAGACTGGGGGCCGGGGATGGAAGACGCTCAAGATGTCGATCGTGGGAGTGAAGTGGCTGTCGCGAGACATTGACCGTGTAGGTAAAGCCGATGATGTTTTCGAAACCGTAACCCGATCCCGGCGAGTGTGAGCCGTTCTTTGCAGAACCCTCGCCGGGTCTAGGGGTTTGTGGGACCATGATGATGGTCGCTGTTCTGTTGTTACGCACGCGTTAATCGCGTGGCTTCGTCCCTGTACCTTACCCCGTCCATGCCCAGGCCTAAAACAAAAGCAAGACATAACGCCTGAGCAAACGATGGAGTGCTCGCTGGGAAGAAAAGATCGCGGGCCTTTACTGGGTCAAGACTGCCTCGGGCTTGACTTCAAAAGACATGTGGTTCGGGTGATGGGTAAGAGTTTCAGTGTCGCCCTCGGGAATCCGATCCAGGCCGCCCACCGAAGATTTGGCAGCATGTTGCGGATTTACTCTAAGTTTCTCCGTCAGCTTGAGCAGGCCCTGGTAGTCCTTCTGGTCGACCAAGCCGCTCGCAGCTGTGCTGGAGAAAAAGCTCAGCAACGTGTCGGCCGCTCTTCGGGCCTCCTCTTGCGTCGGGGATGTTGGAGACGAGCCTGCAGGCGTGGTCGCTGATCTGCCGGCCATGCTGCTGTTGCTGCTGCTGTGGTGCAGATGCGGAGACGATGTGATTGCGGTATCCAGAGCAAAGTGCGGTGCCGCCATCTCGTAGATCGGTGACTCTAGTGCAGAAGACGGGGCAGTCGATGCTGGGTGGTACTTCGGAGTTATGGGCTCAGTCGTTACAGTCTGGTACATTGCTTCAACGTCAATGTTCGGGAACGTCTGACTTCTGGGCCTCTGGAAGTTTGAAGCGACTTCGTGCATCTGGCGAGACGAATCAGGGGGCAAGAAAGCTCCAGCGTTGGGGTCAGGGGAGAAGGTAAAGGTTCCCGTTGGACTCAGGGCACTCCCAGAGAAGGATGAATTGGCCGCATCGGTCAAGGCACTGTTGAGAGACGTAGTGCTTTGAGAGTTGGAATGTTTGTATGCTGGACCGTCTCCGTAGCTGACAAAACCAAGACCGTGAACAACGTCTTCGTCGCTTCTGTCAGCGGACAGAGGGGACTGATGACCTGTTGGCGATGCTGGGGAGATACCAGATGCTCCTAGAGATGGAGAGCCAGAGATCTTGGCGTGGTTCGTGATGTTCGTTTCCGATGCCCTTCGCGACAGCCTTCCTCCAGGGAGGATGTTTCTCTGTTTGAATCTTTCCAGCCACGTGGCGTTGATCGATTTCGTCTGGTTTGCTTCACCGCCGCCGTTGGTAGAGAAGTGCCTAGCCTGCTCCAGGATCTCTTCATCACCTGGAGTTAACCCTGCTTGGACCTGTTTCCTATACCAGGAGACGACGCCGCGATCAATGTCCGGATACTTGCCTTTGGCATGGCGTCTGCCGGCGGGGGATTGACTTCTGTCCGCCTCAGGATTCAGGTACTTTTCCTTGTTTCTGAGGACCTTGGATACAGTGCTATGGAGGATGTCAGTTTGGTATTCCACGTTGCCAGTCTTGGTACCAAGGCCTACCTGCGCTCAACCCCAAACATGGCACCAATATCAGTCTGTTTGACGTTGGGGTGTTCGGCCGCGTACTGGCACATTTTCTTCCTGTCTTCATCCGTCAAGACCCTTCGCTGCTGGGGCTGGGCACCGTTGCCGTGTCTCCCCGTCCTGGCGGGCGCGGGAGGGACCACGGGAGCCATGCCCAAAGGTGGTGCCGAATAGCTGTTTGGATTCGTCAACATGCTGGGCCATGTTGGTTGAGACGGTATCATGAGCATTGGAAGCTGTGAATGGGATTGTTGATGATGCGGCTGTATCGGTTGAGGGGGCGCCGGAGGAGGAGGCATCCTGCCAATCGACTCAGACGGCAAGCCGTGAGGCATAGTAGGCATGAAGGCGCCGAATGGGCCGTAGTCTGGCATTGTGGTTTGGTGAGTGTACGAATTCATGTCGTTCCAGCTCTCATTGCCGAAGGATGTGTGGCTCTGTGACATGTGGCTGTCTTCGTCTTGAGCCATGTGGTTGTCTTGATCCATAGTGGTGGTGCCCACGATGGAGTGGTCCATTGTTTATATGACTCGGTCGAGTTCCAGGAAGAGCCAACAAGCCAACTCGACAAGGCTCCGAGCGGCAAGTGTGTTTGGCTACCTAGGTGGCCTGTAGTTGTTCAATCCAGGTTCTGGGTTGCTGATTGCGAAGAGGGGATCGCGCCGATGGCTTTGGCTTGACTGATGGGATGGCACTCGGGCCAAGCAAGTGTGGGGATGCCTGGTCCCAGCAAGCAGATATTGGTGGGTTCGACTTCATGAACGGAAGACGGCATGCATGATAGAGGAGGCCAATTGGTTCCTGGAGGCGCGGCGTGCAGGAGTGCAGGCGTGCAGGCGGTCTGCTGTGTAGGTCAAGAAGCCCTGGGCCCCGGGGGTGACTTAGATGCAAGTGCGTTGCAGGCTGCAGAAGCGTGTTGGGTTGGGAGGGGGGAAGGGACAGGAAAGGATGTCTTGTCTTGTCTTCTTGTCCGGTTGACTGCTTGCTTTGTGAATGGCTGTTGCCCGTCTGGCTTTGGGTTCGGGCTGTCTGTCTGCAGCGCCTTCTAAACGAAAAGGGCCGGTCCTTGATGCAGGTGTTGGGGGTTCGGGTTCGAGGGCAGGTGCAACGAGCAACTGCCTTTTAACGCAGTAACCACCAACCCAGTCAGTTGATCTTTTACCCTATCAGGACCCCCCGGATTCGCTCACGCCTTCTCGGTTCCGAGGGTGTTTCTTCTCTCGTGCCGCCGTCTGGACGGTGAGGAGCAGGCCGGCAATCGATTTACTGCAGGTTTGGCGGTGGTCGATTGATGTTTCGATCTGCGAGCGTCCGCAGAGAGATGGCGGTGATGAGAAAGAGACAACAGCGAGGATCAGATGAGGAGAAGAGCGTCGATGGCAGAGGAGATAGATTCGATGTATCTACCCGGCCGGCCAGTGGAGGATAGAGGAAGACAAGCCTGACAGGTCTGGAGAGTCGAATCGGACCAGTAGGAAGAGAAGGGTAGGGAGCGGTCTCCTGCAAGAATCAGACGCCGCGACGCACAAGGCAAGGCTTGGAGGCCAGAGCTAGCAGGTCAGGGTTGGGGTAGGCGGGCTTGTCAAGATAGTAATACTGTCCTGCGCACGAATGGATGGGAAGGTGTGCGGTGCGGTGCGGTGCGGTGCGTTGCGGTGGTGGGCCGTCCTCTACTATACATATGTACCGCCGTACACTAGAGCGGATGTTTTCCATGTAAGTAGGTACACTGCCGGCAAGGGTACGGGGGTGTATCGTTTCCTACTGGGGGTGTGGTGGGTAGGATTGAATCTAAGTCTGACTAGGGTCTTGACTGGGTGTGGCAGCGGGCCTGGTGAAGGATAAGATGGAGCTCTCTGGCCTGTGTGCGTGCACATGCATCCACAGATACATGAAGAAGCCCTCGACAAGGAGTGAAAGGAAGACGCCGAGGGGGGAAAAGGATTTGGTGACAGTCAGCAGGCTGGGCCAGTCCGATTCTTGGGAAAAAAACCTTTGGGTCGGAGGTTGAGTTGAATCGCTAGAGCCGAGATGGTTGTCAGAGCAGGAGAGTCTGGGTGGAAAAGTGGTTGCAGTTATGATAGGTCCGAACGAGGAGGGGAGGGCGAC